TGGTAGAACCTGTATGGTCAAATTGTTGATTCCCAAAAGAGACTATCCGAGAGTGGAGATGGGAAAAGAAATTATATGCCCTAGGTTGGGATTATGTTGTGTTTTGAAGTTGACTTCAAAGGGTTAGTTGTTGTACTTTAAGATTGATCTTAAGCATGGTCACTAAAGTAGGGTGCTTAGATATTACCTAGGCATAGTTGGTTGGTAGACCTCACCAAAAGTGGTGATAAGGGTTGACATGGTCTAGAGTTGTCTTGATCCAACTTTAGTGAAAAAGAGAAAGGTTTCTTGGTCAAAACTCCTCTAAGTTCCTCTAAGGTTTAACCAAGAAAGGATGTCTACCCGTAAGTCTCAAAGAGTGAGTGGTAGTGGATCTTAAGGGTTCCGGTATGTGTTTTATGTTTTATTGAATTGCGGAAATTCCATGGGCCAAAGATAGAGGAAGATCCTCTAGAGTTTATAAAGGAGTTATCTAAGGTGATGAACCTTGTAGGAGTAATCTTAGTAATACTTGTCTTTCGTGACTTGATAAAGAGAATATCGCAAACTTTTTTTGTGTCGTCCTTAATATTCATGGGTTTAGTTATGGCCATATGTGAGTGATTAGTATAACTCAACCTAGTCCTTATGAGTTTTATGATGTGTTGGATTTTGACGAATAGTGATTCTTAAGTGGTACCTAGAGATGTTGAGTGATTAAGCTCCTTTAAAAGAGGGTAGGAGTGAGATCCTCATTGGTTTGAGAATCATGTTGTGTAATGAGATAGTTTAGGCTTACCCCAATGCGGGATAATGTGCTTAGATGGTAAGGTTATTGAGTGTCCTTGATGTTTATGAGATAGGTTTGCTTGAATTCTCACCTTATGTGGTTTAGTGAATTGGAGCAATCTAGACCCGGAGTGGTAGATTCATATGAGATCTTGAGTGATATCCTAGTGACGGCCTTAGAAAAGGATGCTACTAGGGTTGACTTGGAAGAATTTTTGGGATGAAGGTACCGGTATGTGGTAATTTCATATGAGAGTAAGTGCTATGTTGATTTCCGGTACTACCTTATCTTGTATGATGCCTTATGAGGCTATGAGGCTTAGAGTTCTCCGGATGAGTTAATAGAACCTTTTTCGGATTTTACCCCGGTTAATGGTTTAAAGTTAGAAAAAAAAGGGGTTTGTGAAGAATATCCCTTACCTTGTTCCCCTAGGAATACTCTTGTTGACTTAGTGACTAGGCTTGGGTCGTGACAGCGAGCCGCCGATTGGTTAGGCGATGCACACTTTTGCTCGCCCAATGGACTCTCTGCAGCTCCTTCAATGCTCTGAAATTTGAAATCTAGTGGTCCCCCCTGTCTTGTCCTTTTGTCCTTTAGGACTTACCCTTTTAGTAAATTCGTTTTTACAAACACCTTTACTCTTTCTCTTTCTTGCCCTTTTAAATCAAACACTTGCTTTTTCAAATATTCTCTTCCTTGAAGATATGTATGTTTTTCAAGAACATGAACAACATGATGAACACCAAAATAAAACCCTTACAATTTTTGTCTCGGAATTTCATGAAAATTTAGGTGAAGGCTATCCTTGATATGGGGAACAACACCCAATACTTTTTAACCTTCAATTCCAAGACAAAACCTTCAGATTTCAAAACCCACTTTGTGTTCTTCAAGTCTACAATGGTGGATTCTTCAATAAAGCTCCAAACTCCTTCCAATCTCAACCTAAGACTCAAATATAGTTGGAGAACACTATTCCAACCTTAGAAACTCAAACAAGACTCAGATCTAAGAAACCCATTTCAGCGAAATCACAAAAACGAAAATGAACAATTTTTTTTGTAACAAAACCCCAAGACTAGATTCGTAGG